CTGCTTCTCCCTCTCCCACTCCCCCTGCTTGTGTTCCCTCTCTCGCTGTGTGTCTCTCTGTCAAATAAATAAATAAAATCTTAAAAAAAAAAGATTTAATTTATTTATCTGAGAGAGCATAAGCGGGAGGGAGGGGGGTGGGGGGAGTGGCAGAGGGAGAGGGAGAAGCAGGCTCCCCACTGAGCAGGGAGCCCGACATGGGGCTGGATCCCAGGACCACCTGAGTGGAAAACAGATGCTTAACCAACTGAGCCACCCAGACACCCCTTATCTTAGTTTTAATCACACTTTTAGCACAGGAATATTAACTAGAATCCACCTACTTTGTCAACTCGGTGGTTACTGAGCACTGAGAACCTTAGTGATAACAGAAGCCAGTGGGTTTAAGAATGAGTAAGAGGTGACAACATAGAGACAGCCAGCACAATCAATGTTTTCAAAAAGCTTGGCCATAAATGGAAGAGGCCGCAAGAAAGTGATCCAGCATTTTTACAAGCTGAGGGGAAGGAGCCAATAGAAAGTAAGATAACAGGGCGCCTGGGTGGCTCAGTCGGTTGAGCGACTGCCTTCGGCTCAGGTCATGATCCCAGGGTCCTGGGATCGAGTCCCACATCGGGCTCCCTGCTCTGCAGGGAGCCTGCTTCTCCCTCTCCCACTCCCCCTGCTTGTGTTCCCTCTCTCGCTGTGTCTCTCTCTGTCAAATAAATAAATAAAATCTTTTAAAAAAAAATAAAAAAAAAAAGAAAGTAAGATAACAAAGTTCTGGAGAGGAAAAGAATTAGGCCAGTACACGTGTTTTCTATTTAATCATCACACAGGCCTTGAGGCAGCTAGATTATCTCCCTTCTACAGAAACAAGAATCTGAGGTAAAGGCATTAAGAATTTTGTCCAAGAAAAAAAAAAATTTTTTTTGTCCAAGGTCCCACAGCTAGTAAACTACAAAGTCAAAACTGAAATCCAGGTTTTTCTCAGAAATCCAGCATTTTGTATATTACACCATGCTACTTTGGACAGGGAAAAAAAATAATACTAAGTTCTCAGACTTGAAAAAGAGGCAAAAGACGAAAACAAATTTGCAGGTAAGGGAAGTGAGAGCAGATGAAAAGGAGTAAATACAGGCTTCTTAGTCTCTAATGTCTACGTGCAGTCAGAAACAAGGTTATCTGCTGAAAGCAAGCAGGATACATGTGGGCACAGTGAGCATGAAGTGACTGTAAAGGTCTGAAATAATCACTATGCATAATGGAAAGGCTAATGCCAGAAGAGGGATTAAAATGAGGTTAAAAATCACAAGTCTTCCCCAATCCCTTATCCTTTCACTGAACTCCTATCAGTCTTACCATTCACTACAGTATGAACTATAATATAAACACAAAGTAGTATATAGGCTAGCTCTATATACTTTCTCCATAGCAGATAATTAGCTTTTGAAACACAAGGCCCATATTCTCTCCCTCTTGATATGCCCTCATAGCACCTACGTATAGTACCTAACCCTGTATTTTTTTTTTTCTGGGTTTCAGGAGGTAGCAAACAGGGAAAGACCAAGAAAACAGTGCGAATCAAGACCAACATAGAGATGAACATGCTAAAGCAACTGTTAGCTTCACATCGCCTCCCTGCTTCAAAAAACTCACTGATTTTCCAGTGACTGTAAAATAGAAACCAGATGTTTTAGTATGACATAAGAGGCATTTCCATAGTTTGGCCCTAACTTTGGACTCTAGTCTGATTTGCAACCATTCTGCACATCTCTCTTCTCCATGCCTTTGGTTATGCCTTTCAACTCTCATCTTTGCCTGTCCAAATCTTACCCATTCATCAAGAACCAGCTCAGATGTTACTTCCTCCATGAGGTCTTCCCCCTTCCTATCCTCAAGCAGTAAGTCAAGTCTCCCTTTCTGTTCTTATAATAGTTTGTAAGTATATGAACACTTTACATTCAGTTCTGTGTTTAACTAATTTCCTCTACTAAAACATAAGCTCCTGGGGACAGGGACTGTGTCCTGCCTGGAGCAGTATATATCCCCACAGGCTTTATCTCATTCATATGTGATACTTAAATCAACTGAAAAGACTAGAATTTAAAAAGTGAGACCTAGTCTTAAGCTTCAATCAATTGCTCCATAATGTTTACTATTTTTTCAGTTTCTAAAGTCTCCTTAAAAATCATTTTTAGCCACTATTACTTACCCTAAGAAAAATTTCTTAAAAAGGAAAAGAAAAACTCTAGTGGAAAAAATAGAAACATTTCAAGTTTTCAACAATAAAAATGGCTAGATGCATTGTAATATACTTGCCTGATAGAAACTGACACATCAAATGAAAACTGAGTATTGAAATTGTATAGAAATATGATGAAAACTAATAATGGTAAGAGGAAAAAGTAAAATATAGAATTCTATCTACACTATTATTAGGCAAAGAAAACCAAAACAAAACAAAAATGCATGCAAATGGGTGAGACCCAGAAAGGAATGCTGAAAAATTAAGATAGCTGTTTGTTACAGTGTAGAACTGTGGGCAACTTCTGATTTAAAAAGAAAAAAAAAATGGTATTACTTTTGTTATCTTATTTATGCTGATACACAATACCATTTCTCCCCCAAAAATTCCTTCTGAGGGAAAAAAGTTGATCAATATTAAAATAGAGAGTCCAGGGGCGCCTGGGTGGCTCAGTCGGTTAAGCGTTTGCCTTCAGCTCAGGTCATGATCCCAGAGTCCTGGGATCAAGTCCTGCATGGGGCTCCTTGCTCAGCAGGAAGCCTGCTTCTCGCTCTGCCTGCCCTCCTTCCCGCTGGTGCTCACTCATTCACTCTTTCTTTCAAATAAATAAATAAAATCTTTTAAAAACATATATATAGAGAGAGTCCATTGGGGCGCCTGGGTTCAGCATTGGACTTTTTTTTTTTTTTTTAAGATTTTATTTATTTATTTGTCAAAGAGGGAGAGAGAGAGAGCACAGAAGGGGGAGTGGCAGGCAGAGGGAGAAGCAGGCTCCCTGCCGAGCAAGGAGCCCGATGTGGGACCCGATCTGGGATCATGACCTGAGCCGAAGGCAGACGCTTAACCAGCTGAGCCACCCAGGCGTCCCTTGGCATCGGACTCTTGATTTTGGCCCAGATCATGATCTTAGGGTTGTGGAATGGGGCTCCACATTTGGCGTGGAGTCTGCTTGATTCTCTCTCTTCTCTCTGCTCCTCCCCCCTCTTTCTCCCTCCCTCTCTAATAAAATAAAATAACACTTAAAATATGGAGTCCACTAAATTTATAAATTCTGTAAGGGTAGAACAATGGATCTTTATCGAGGGCGATTTTGCCCAGCACTCCTCCCCAGACATTTGGTGATGTCTGTAAGACATTCTTAGTTGTCATGATAGGGTGCGGGTAGGGAGGAATCTATTGACATCTAGTGGGTAGAAGCCTGGGACGCTGCTAAATATCCTACAATGCACAGAAAAGTCTCTCCTTCCCTCCGCAACAAAAAAATTATTTAGCCCAAAGTGTCACTATTGAGAAACTCTGGGATAGAGAACGTGTCATGTTGCTGGTCTCCAGAAACCCACTGGCTAGAACAGGGCCAAGGGCACAGAAAATACTCACAAGTAGTGTAACTGAATGAACACACAGCATCCTTTCTCCTTGGGTTTTATCCTGATACTGTCAACTACCCATTGTCAAAATTTTTATCTTGTGCTCAGTCTCTTCTAGTAAACCAAACTCTGAAGCTTTAAAGCATCAATTATTTAAAAGGTATCAAAGGCACTATCACAGTAATGACTTCTTGTAACCTCTAACTCCTAAAGACATCAGAATTTGCTGCACTGAGCTTTTCAATACCTTTAACTCTTGGTAGTAACTTCAAGAATAGCTACAGCTTATTCTAATAAAAATACAAGCATAAAAAATAAAAATACATTACAAAACATTTTTTCAAAATACTGTTTCAAGGAACAATTATGGATTAGTTTGCTTATGAAATGACCTCTAAAAAGCCTGATGTGTCTTCAATCTCAAACTCAAGATTCAAGGAACATTTATTGAACATCCACCAAGTACAAAGCACTATACTAAAAGAATATAGAAAATTTTTCACTTTAAGTACATGCTATACATATATATGACATGTTAAACTAATGCTGACATTATATCTTACCAACCTTTTTAGACACATCTTGTTTCAATTCTTGTACAGGAGACTCATTTCCAACTTTATGTGCAGTATTCTCAGTTTCCTATATTAAAAAGAAAAGAAAAAGAGATCAAATGATGACCAATCTTTTCTTTAAAATTGTTTAAGATGGGTACAAATTAGAAAACACAGCATTAATAAAGCAAAGGCCCATAAAGGGCTTAGATGTTTGTCTAAGGAAAGATGCCCAGATATTTTATGCAAAGTGGGACAATGTGATTTGTATAAGGTTACCAGTCAGCAATTTTCTATATTTCTACAGCAATAGGTTATTTTCTAAATGTGCTCATCTTTTTAACATTAAAAACTGTACAGGAAGATAAAAACTACCAAGTACTCTGTAGCTTAAAAAGATGAAGGATTTAAAGCAAAGGGTTGAATCAGAATTGCTATTTTTCCCAGAGTATTGCTCCATAAATATGCATAAATATAAAAGTACATAATGCAGAAAACCACATTCAGAGAATAGTTGTCTTAAAAATGCTACATGCTTTAGATGAAAGGAATCAAGACACCAGAAGTTAAAGTCCCCCAAACAGTAACAGAAGAAATTAAACCCACCAAAAATACATATATATCTACGTATACATTCATATACACATACGTACATATATATATATATTTGGGAGGTTAGAGAAGGTAGAAACGGATACGGCTTTTCTGCTGGAAAAAAAATTCTGGTAAAATAAGACAATTATACATCTGCAAATGTAAACATAGTATTCACCTCCATCCTAAATTGTCATTATGTTTACAGAAGTATAACAATTTGAATGCTAGTAATGATACTGAGAAAAAAAACTTTTCATAATTTTTGGTACACGTCACAGAGTTAAAGAAGGTCACAATAACCACTTTTGACAGATAAGCAACCTAAGGCACATAACGATGTATGTAAGTATCAAGGTAGCACTTATACAAATATTAGGATATGATCATGATAGGTGCTGTGATAAAATTACTCCAGATCAATATAATGCTGAAGACTTAATGTGCTAGAGAAATTTCTGTAGAACTTCCGATCTCTTCAAGCTGAAAAGTTGTTTCATGGAATTTTAAGTGTCAGGTAAAATCCAAACTTACCACAACCCATGAGGGCCTATATCTTTGACATCTTCTATATTTCTCACCTCCCCTGTCCATCACAACCCCACAACCACACTTTGGCTAACTGGATGGTTCTTTACCATCCTTAGGGTGATAGCTCAAGTGTTATCACATTAGAAAAACCTTCCCTGACCACCTTAAAATAGCCTTACCTGCTTAACTGTCTATCACATTATCTGTTTTTTCATTGTACTTATCTCCATCTGAAACGACCCTGTTTACTTGCTTATATTTTTGTCTCTTCCCTGCCCCACTAGAATGTAAGCTCCATGAGAGCAAGGGCTTTGTTCTATCTACCACTATGTACCCTGTACACCTAAAAGAGTGTCAGGCAAAAGTAATCATTTCTAAATGAATGTTGAATAATGCATGGCTCTGGCTTTTCTTCAGTAAATACACATATCTTAAGTTTATATATCTTTAATCAAATCCTGGTTTTAAACTAAAAGAAAAAGGACTCTAATCAAAACCAGTAGTAAGATAATCTTGACAAGATGAAGGGCAGAGAATAGTTGAAAGGCTGATGGTCATTAAGGACAGTTAATGCATATTAGAGAAACACCTTCAACTATCTTACGAATTAACTATATTTATTCAATTATCCTCCAATAACTGTTCATTAGTAGGAAAATCAGAAGCACTATACAATATTAATTCCATGGGTATGTTCCCGAAATTAACCTAAGCAAAAATACACACTAATAATTCCTGTACCTCAATTTAATTTGTTTGAATTAAGTACTTACAACCATCACAGATTAACATTCTCACACTGATCAAAACTGGAAGCAGTGGTTAGGCTTCTATTTTATTTAGCTTTAACAAAACTCTCTTGGACTTTGAACCTTTGAAAGGTATCAACCTCTACAAGGTAAACTGTGGTTAAGTCACAAGCTTAATGGGGTGATATGGCACCTACCAGAGGATCTAATCTCTAGAGAAGTTAATCAGAAGGTTTCTTAGTAAAACCTGATTTAGTGCATATATAGTCATCTATGATTCTCTCTCAGTGATGTCTAAGGTCCAGGTCCTTCCCCTAGCACCTTGATCAGGCTGTGGAGGTAAAGCAATGGAAGCCAAGAATGTGCCTGCAGACAACCAACACCAACTCAGACTTCAGACACTCCTCATTTATTACCTCCTTTTGGAGATGGGCTGCCGCATTACTAAAGCACAGGGCCTACCAAATCCCAGCTTCCCACCATCAGGCCGTTTCTTTAACCCATGCCTATCACACCTCAGAAATACACTTAAGAGGTATGGTAGCGGGGGGCGCCTGGGTGGCTCAGTCAGTTCAGCGTCTGCCTTCAGCTCAGGTCATAATCTCAGTGTCCTGGGATCAAGCTGCATTGGGCTCCCTGCTCAATGGGGAGTCTGCTTCTCCCTCACCCTCTGCCCCTCTCTTCTTCCCCCTCTCCCCACTGCTCATGCACTCTCTCTCTCAAACAAATAAAACCTTTTTAAAAAAGAGAGATATGGTAGGATCATTCAATTTCTAGCAATTCACTCCACTGTTTCCCTCCATCTCTGTTGGGTATTAGAGAGCTGCTTGTACCCTCCTCATAGTATTCAGTTCTACAATTTGAGCTTTTTAATTTTAATAAGCACATCCAACAAAAAAAATCATTTTCACAAATAATTTGTACAAAAGTAATCTACACTTGGGGCGCCTGGGTGGCTCAGTTGGTTAAGTATCTGCCTTCGGCTCAGGTCATGATCTCAGGGTCCACAGATCGAGTCCCGCATCCGGCTCCCTGCTCAGCAGAGAGTGTGCTCCTCCCTCTCCCTCGGCTGCTCCCCCTGCTTGTACTCTCTCTGTCAAATAAATAAATGAAATCTTCAAAAAAAAAAAAAAAAGTAATCTACACTCTAGGAAATTTTCATTATTATCTACTAAAGCTACTAAAGCTAAAAATTCAGTTATTAAAAAATTCAGGTCACTTCTAGTTTTTACTAGTGAGGAAGGGAAAGCTATTAACAGTGACTAAAGTGAAATTTTATGTATTTACTTATTTACTTTTTAAAGTTTATTGTTTTTATTTTTTGGTAATCTCTACCCCCAACATGGGGCTCAAACTCATGACTCTTAGATCAAATAAGAGTCACATGCTCTTCCGACTGAAGCAGCCAGGTGCCCCAAAAGTGAAATTTTAAAAAACGTTTTAGAGATGTGACCCCTACTCTCTTTTGCTGAGAAGAGGAAAAGAAAAAACCACCAAGAAACAACTTTTAAATAGTGGTCACGTCCGTCCACTGATTCCTATCAACACAATCCCTTTGTCCAAGTCTCAAGTCTTGACATTCTAACTGCCTCTTAACAGCTCTCTCTGCACTTAGTCTTTCTTCCAAACTATCTCCCACCCTTCCACCACTTAGCTTAATTCCCCAGCAAAAAAACTATGAAGAGCACAACTGTTAAGACATATAAAAATTGACTTTTAAAATGTCTTGCTTCATGGGATGCCTGGGTGGCTCAGTTGGTTAAGCATCTGCCTTCAGCTCAGGTCATGATCCCGGGGTCCTGGGATCGAGTCCAACATCGGGCTCCTTGCTCAGCGGGGAGCCTGCTTCTCTCCTCTGCCTGCCGCTCCCCCTGCTTGTGCATGCTCTCTCTCTCGCTCTCTCGCTCTGACAAATAAATAAATAAAATCTTTAAAAATAAATAAAATGTTTTGCTTCAAAATTTTAAAGCCCAGAGTTCTTTTTTTAAAGCTTTTATTTATTTATTTAGAGGAAAGTGGGGGTCGGGGGGAGAGAGAGGGACAAGATGACTCCATGCAGAGCCTGTGGGGCTCAATCCCACGACCCTAAGATCATGACCTGAACAGAAACCAAGTGTCGGAAGCTTAACCGACTGAGCCACCCAGGTGTCCCAAAGCCCAGAGTTCTTAAGCTGACATTCGAGGTTCATCGAAATCTGGCCCCACTTTACTTTTCCATCATTTCACTGCTAAAACATTTACATAGGTCACACAAGTCTTTCAATGCTCCCAGCAAATTCTATACCTTTGCATATTAATGAGCTCATACTATTGCCTAACATACAATGCTTTCCGGATTTTTTTCTATCTGCCTATGCAGATCTCTCCCAATTTTCAAAGCCCAACACAAGTTCTACCTCTTCCCTGAAACTTTTCTCTGCTATTCCAGGTACCTACGCTCTCCTGTTGTTCTATCTCCCCCTTCCTCCTCCAAACTCCTTGGAGCACTTAAAGTCTATTCTGTTCTACAAACACCAATATCTCATACACATCCCTCTTCTGTGAGACTGTAAAATCATAAAAACTCAGGACAATACCAAACTTTTCTTCGGATTGCTTAATATCAATAGATACGCTGTTATACATGATATGCACTCAATGGTCTGAGTACATAGTCTGAATACCATAGACTACTATTTAATAATAAAAAGGAATAAACCATTGATACATGCAACAATTTGGATCTCAATCCTTTGGGCCAGTCTCAAAAGGTCACACACTATATGACTGCATTTATAGGATATTCTCAAATGACAACATTACAGAAATGGAAAACAGCTTAGTGGCTGCCTGGGGTTAGGGATGATGTGAGGGAGGGGGTGGGTGTGACTTTATAAAAGGGTAGCACAAGGGAGACCTTTGCGGTGATGAAAAAGATCTGCATCTTGTGGTGGTAGTTACACAAATACATATATGTAATAAACTGAAGCAAAACCATAAACTCATATTGTACCAATGTCAAATTTCTGGTTTTGATATTGTACTATAATTAAGATATAACCACTGAGTGAAATGGATGACGGAGACACGGGAGTTCTCTGTACTACGTTTGCAGCTTCTTGTAATCTGTAATTATTTCAAAATAAAAAGTAAAAAAGAACAATATCCAATTTTGTGTTTATTTACTAAATATGTATATTTTCTATCTAATTTTATTCAAGTTAAGCACAATCTATAATTACTGAGATAAAATAAATTTCACAAATCTATTTTCTTATAACCTATAAATATCTTAGAGCTAAGTGGCTTTTAAAACCTACAGGCATAAACAGCAATTGTCTCTGGATATGGGGACTGGGAGGTGGAGGATGAGGAACGAGAGGGAAGCTACATTTTCAACCATCTACTTTTTGTACTGAGCAAATTTTAACCATGTCCATGCATTATTTTTAAAAATTGTTTTTATCAAATAGAGTAAATACGAGAACTTTTATAAAATACAAGGAATGAAGAATTATGATATAACCTTTCTTAAGCACTCAGTTTAAGAAAAAGAACATTACCATTAGCTTTCAATCTCTTGCATAGCCTTCTCCATTTTCATTACATTCTTTCTCCCTCAGAGATGACGGATACCTTGAATATTGTGTTTATCATTCCCTTGCTATTCTTTATAGTTTTACTGTGTTTCTATCTCTAAACAACATATTCTTTCATTTTTTATGTTTTTGAACTTAATATAAATGGAATCTTACTGTATGTATCTTACTGTGACTTTTCTCCTACTCAACACTTTGGTGCTGAAATTCATCTATGTCATTGCATATAACCAATTCATTCATACCTACTGCTGTAAACTATGCCATAAGAACATACCACAATTTAACAAAGAGATCAGTATCCAATGTGTATAAATAGAAGGTAGGAACACTGGTACTAAAAAAAAAAAAAATACAGCACGTTTGAGATTATACATACATTATATACAGATATACTCAAACATACACACAGTGTATACTCTATTTGATGTAAATAGTTCTGTTTGGTGAAATTCTTGGGACTTAAAATAGCTCTCATAGCATAATGTCTCAATACCAAACTCCTTTACTTGGAGCTAAGGCTGGGATTGATTTTTATATAGAGTGGATGACACCAAAGCATGTGCCCATACAAGTGTTTTGGTTAGTCCACATTTTTGTCATGCAAGTATTATTTTCTCAATTAACATACACATGTATTTTATAGTATTCTTCTATTCCAAAAATTACAAATTAGTGGAAATCTAAAAAAATTTACAGTCCCTTCCTTATAGCACAATATTTGTTATTTCTAGAGTACCCAATCACACCTAGTAAGATACAGGGACAATATTATTTAGCAAAAAATAAGTAACAGCAAAAGCAAGAAAATGAAGATTTACATAAAATAGTAAAATGAATGAGAAGTGTACACAACTTGTAGAAATATAACTCTCAGAAAACACAACTTACCTTTAATGTTGAAATCCCAACCTTTCCTGGAGACCTGTACAGAAATAAAAGGAAGGTGTTGAATAGTGGAAGCAAGAAGGGAAATATTTCTATACATTTATTAAAGAGAAGCCCACATTTAAAAAAACATTTATATAGTTTGTGACTGAAAAGTCTTCTGTGCATACAGAAAGTGTAGAAAACATAAAAAAGTAGAGAAGAAAATACAAGTGACCCATAATCCTACAATCTAGAGATCTGAGTATGTACCTTTTGTCTTCCCAAATACTTATGATGTATACTATAATAAGCATCCTTGTAAATAAAATTTTGTGCTCTTCCATGATAAATTTCTTTTTTAAGATTTTTTTTTTAATTTATTTGACAGACAGAGACACAGTGAGAGAGGGAACACAAGCAGGGGGAGAAGCAGGAGAGGGAGAAGTAGGCTTCCCGCCGAGCAGAGAGCCCGATGCGGGGGCTTGATCCCAGAACCCTGGGATCATGACTCGAGCAAAAGGCAGATGCTTAACAACTGAGCCATCCAGGTGCCCCCATGATAAATTTCTTTAAAATAAATTTTAGGGGGGCGCCTGGGGGCTCAGTCGGTTAAGCTTCCAACTCTTGACTTCAGCTCAGGTCATGATCTCAGGTTCGAGATCGAGCCCCCAGTAGGGCTTCACATTGGGCGTGGAGTCTGCTTAAGATTCTCTCTCTCCCTCTCCCTTCGCCCCTCCCCTCCCAGGTCATGTGCACTCTCTCTCTAAAAATAAGTAAATCTTAAAACAAAAACCAAAACAAACAAAAAAACCCCAGTAGCTATATAAAATAGTGCCCACCATTTAATTGTATCACCTGGACAATATTACTTCATGTTAACAAAGGACAATTTCCAGAAATGAAAAATATATTCCCAATTATTTGACTTCCCTGGCAAACCTATACTGCTATGTAACAAAATCCTCTTTATCCAGAGGTAATTAGGGCCAACGCTATTCCGATTTTTAAAAAAAGGAAAAAAGAGGGGTGCTTGGTTGGCTCAGTAGGTTAAGCCTCAGACTCTTGATTTTATCTCAGGGTGGTGAAATCAAGTCTCGCATTGGGTTCCACCCTCAGGGGGAGTCTGCCTCTCTCCTTCTCCCTCTGTCCCTCCCCCTGCTCATTCAAGCACCCTCTCTCGCAAATAAATAAATCTTAAAAAAAAAAAAAAAAAGATTCCACACAAAGGATGTCTAGAATATAAGTGCAATCAAAGCAAAGATAAAAACAAAACACCCTGAAGAGGCTTGAATTTCTATGTGGCACATATTCTGAATGCCAATTAGGGAAAAAAAAAAATTACCTGCCTCAGAGGTGTAGCAGCAAGATGAAATAAGATTAAAAAAAAACTTAAGCCCCATATGAGGTAAAGAAGGGAAGAAAAAGAAAATCTACCTTCCCCATGACCCTCACTTTGAGAAATCTGACCAGGTTTTTTTAGCTGTCAAAGAAAAAAAAAACAGAATGGGGAGCCACATTTATCCGTTATGTAACAGATTTCATAAAGAACACTTTCTGGCTGTTGATTCACAGGATCTAAATTACAGGCCAATTGTTGACACACATGGAAATATTCCAGATTGATTCTAACAGGACTTTACATATAGCCATGTACAAACTATAAAGAGTAATTTATTACTTCCTTTTGAGAGCCATGGGGACATAGTGAAAAGAGCAAGAGCTTTCAAGCATATGAGCCCTGCTTAAATAGTCTTTATACCATTTACTCTACATGTGACCTTGACCAAATCATTTAATTTCTCCAAGCCTCAATCTCCTCTGTAAAAAGGTAAAAGCACTCTACTTCACAGAACTTCTGTAAGGATTAAGTGAGAGCCATGGGGCACGCAGAGTAAGTGGGAGTTTCTTCAGCAGCATTAAATTGCTTCATCGAAACTCAAAAATGATGAGCTTCAGCAAGTTTCTCCAAGATACTTTGGCAGTTTGTCAGCGGTGGGGAGCCTGAGACCAATTTCTGAACACAGAAAAGATACCCTACAGGTTATCAAACTCCAGCCCACTTACCAACAGGGAATGTGAAAAAAGTCAGATTATATTGAACTGGTGATTAAAATGGGATCTGGCTTACGTTTTGTGATGCCATTAAACAAAAAACTAATAACAAAAGACACTCATGTTTGAAATATATTTTAAATGTTACGAAGTTGTTATGGTCTTGGTAGGCAGTAAAACGTTTCAGACTACTATACCTTCTTCTAGGCTAATCAAGCCTAAAATTGTCTTTACCAGGGTAGCCTGTAACACCAGAATTCTTTTGTGATTCATTTTTTGAACCATTTATAGAACACTGGCATCTAATAAAAAGTGAAAGCCCATTTGTAATTTGTGAAGTTGGCTAAAATGATTTGTATCATGTGCCAAGATGAGAAAAGAACAATTCGTTTCACCCTAAGAAACAGTAAATCATTATTTAGTATTCCCACAGGAAGTGTTCCTAATGGGGCATTGTAATAATAATAAAACAATGGCCATCATTAAGCATGTGACCAAAACCTTGCTAAGACTTGACTTGTTTTAGCTTCTTTTGTCCTCACAACTTTCCTATGAGGTAGTTTTATTACCTTCCCTATTTTACACAACAAAACAATTGAGGCTTGGGTCAGATTAGATCATTTAAATTGCACTGTTAATAAACAGTAGGGCCAGAATTAGACCCCAGGCAGTCTGATGCTAAGAGTCCACTCTCTAAAATACTTTGCAATATTGCCTCCTTTCTGGGTAAGGTCTTAAAAGATGATGATTATGAAAATCTCCTACCTAATCGGCGCTATGAATGAACACCAAAGTAAAGGCAATTAGTGCTGCTTCTTGGGTTGGACTAGATGGATTAAGTCAAAAGCTCTGAATCCTGATCTGCCTTTTACCACTACAATTAACACCTAATTGATTTGGCACTGCTAGGAAATAAAACAATGAAATATTTTATATATAAAATTTCAAGAGAGATGAAGCTTCTCTTTTAGTGTCAAACTTCTGAAAGTATTTTAATTATTTTTTAATTTCCATTTCAAAAGCTTCTTGTAAGTAAATACATTATAGGCTAAGCTTTGCCATTTCAGTAATCTTTCCCTTGAAAATACCTTCTTAAACAAAAGATATAAAATTTTCCCTTTCTTACTGACTCAGAGTAATTATGCTCAAATATCACACTACATTTTAATATAGTAATGCCCTGGAGGGACATTTATTTGCAGGGAATTTATTTGTCTTCACACTACAGGACCCTAGGCTATCATGCTTGGAATGTCTGTTTTACAGTTTGAATCTCTTTCCTCAATTTAAGTGGTCATTTTAATTGGTTACTTCTTACAGTTGGCCATGTGCCTGTCTTTAAAAGCTTCTCTCCTCATCCCCTTCTAATTTTTTTTTTAAAGATTTCATTTATTTATTTATTTGTTTGTTTGTTTGTTTGAGAGAGAGCGCACGCACACACGCGCCAGCCCAAGAACAGGGAGTGGCAGGCGGAGGGAGAGGGAGAAGCAGGCTCCCCTCGGAGCAGGAAGCCCAACACAAAGCTTGATCCCAGGACCCTGGGATCATGAGCTGAGCCCAAGGCAGATGCTTAACTGACTGAGCCACCCAGGCGGCCCATCCCCTTCTAATTTTTGCTTCTAATCTGCATTGAGCTGGGAAACCAGGTTTTCAAAAATGGAATAGTATGCTAAGGGAAGAATCCAGAGATTCTGAGTGAGGGTCTCCCCATGAGAAGTTTTGTACACAACTTTACTGTGGACTTTGTGGCACTGTTTTTGATTGGTCAGAGACTGTTTAAGTGATTATTTTTTATTTTCAGCTGTACTGGAGAATCCATTACCAAAGAAGTGGCTGCCAGGTAAGGGAGGGGTCCCTAATCTTTGGTATCCCTGGATAACAGCTCAACTCTTCTGTTTCTCAGTCTCTAACTTCAAAGTAGAGAGAATAACATTATACTATTTCAGGGTGATTATGTGCTTAAAGAAAACAACTATTCATGTTCAAGTTTGGAGACAGGAGAAATGAGTGTCTAGAGATCAAGAAAATTAAATTCTACTCTAAGTTTTCCCAACAAACTAAGCTGCATGACCCAACAAACTAAGCCCCTTTTAAGCAGGAGTTTTTTAGAGTTCCCGTAATTTTAGGAAATTTTAAGACCCTTCATTAGTTCAGGAGTTGAAGATGTTAATTTATACCATGACTAATGATCTAAATTTTATACTCTGATTTCCCTTAAACTTGAGATATACTGTAGGAAACACTGACATAATCTAACACACACACATCCAGAAATGTCCAGTATTACTTTGATGCATCTAGTTAACTAGAAAAATATTCCTTCAAAATTTCTGCAGATACTAAATATTGTAAATTAGATTCTTTCTTTTTACAGGTTAAGGTCAGTAATTTTTTCCCAGAAAAAGTCTAAATGCCTACATAAAATAACTTTCACTGTACTCCACACAAGTGAAATCTTTAAGAACTTCTGAAGTGGGGCGCCTGGCTGACTTGGCTAGTAGAGCAAAGGACTCAATCTCAGGGTCCTGAGTCCAAGCCCCACATTGGGTATGGAGCCTGCTTTAAAAAATCAACAAAACCCTCCGAAGTAACAGGTAGACATATTTAAGTATTGGTGGTATACCCCACTTAAATAAAACCTAACCAAAATGAGAGCTTCAAAAGTTCATTTTTTCATTTGAAAAATTTTATCATAGGGTATTTTTTAAAATTTTTTTCAAATATATTATTTATTCTTTTGACAGAGAGAGCACAAGTAGGCAGAGTGGCAGGCAGAGGGAGAGAGAGCAGCAGGCTCCCCGCTGAGCAGAGGGCCTGATGCAGGGCTCAATCCCAGGACCCTGGGATCATGACCTGAGCCGAAGGCAGATGCTTAACCAACTGAGCCACCCAGGCTCCCCAGTAGGGTATTTTTAAATGAAATATTTTCAACACATTTAAATATCTGATTGACAAAGCTTAATTTAAATAATCAATGTGCAAAAAATAATAAATGTGCTTCTT